TGTTATCTCTGAGCTTAATGTCAGCTTCATTTCACTTTACATCATCAGGCTACAGTGTCGTTTAGAACCGACAACCAGACTCCATTGAAAAACCTCGTAATTTAAAGCGAGAATCTTAATCTGACACAACGTTCAACCTTTAGAAATCAGTAGTTCACAGGTGAAATAACCTGCTGCTGTTTGCTCTGTCGGCCACACTTCCACCCCGAATACAAAGGAAGGTTTATTTATTCATAAAAAGGTCTAAAGTCACGACATTACAGTCGAGTTTGTTCCCTTGGATAGCAAAGCAGAAAATGCACTGATTTATGAATGGAGTTTGGTTATGACTTTTTATGTTATTCTCTTCGTAGCCATTACTGTAACTAAAGTAAAGTTAAACTTCCATCAGCAGGTTTACTGAAACATACAGGAGTTAATATATAGAGCAGCACTGGGTTGGATCAGCCCTTTAATCAATGAGACACAAACACGTCACATCGTCGGGATGTGAATAGTTTTTCATTGAGAATTTAACTTGTGATGAGAGTTCACTCGTTACCGATGTGAGTTTATTTTTTTATTTCTCAGATTAACCCGTGTACAGAGGAGGAAGCTCCTCCCTCCGGCGGTCCACTAATGGCAGACATCAAGAACTTCCTGTACGCCTGGTGTGGAAAGAAGAAGCTGACTCCCAACTACGACATCCGAGCAGCGGGGAACAAGAACCGGCAGAAGTTCATGTGTGAGGTGAGTTCTGTCCCGCCGTGTTCAGCTCGCTGCCTCCTGCGTTATAACTGAACTCTCCTCTGGGCAGGTCCGCGTCGATGGCTTCAACTACACCGGGATGGGCAACTCCACCAACAAGAAGGACGCTCAGAGCAACGCCGCCAGGGACTTCGTCAACTACCTGGTCCGGATCGGGGAAATGAAAGCGGCAGAGGTCCCGGCTCTGGGGGTCAGATAAAGAATGATTTAATGCTACTGGGACACTTTAGAGAGTTTACAGCTGTAACACCCTGACAGCTCCAGGTTCCTGGTTTCAGTTGGACTCTCTGTCCTGTGTCTCCAGGTGAGCGTTCCTGACCAACCGGATGGAGGTGTTGGCGGCGGCGGCGGTGGCGGATTATTAGGAACTCTCCCTTCCAGCGGTCCTCTCCCTCCTCACCTCATGGTCAAAGCTGAGCAAGGTATTAGGATCTCTCTGATTATATGTGAACACCAGAACTTATTCTTCATCAGGGTTCACAAACGTCCTGGAAACACCTGGAAATAATCTGTTGTTGTTGTTGTTGTTGTTAGAAGAGGGCAGCAGCAGTGGACCGGTACCAGGAGTGACTGGACTCGGTTACTCTGGAGGAGGAAACTGGGGAGGAGAAGGAGGAGGAAGAGAAGGAGGAGAAGGAGGAGGAGGAGGAGGTCAGTGGGACCGAGGAGCCAACCTGAAGGAGTACTACGCCCGGAGAGACGAACAGGAAGCGCAGGCGGTACGGTTCTGGTTGGAAAAGTGAAAAAGTGAATGTAGTTTGGTTTGCAGATGAAATAAATCGTATTTCATCCCCGCAGACTCTGGAGTCGGAGGAGGTGGACCTGAACGCTAATCTCCACGGTAACTGGACACTGGAGAACGCCAAGGCCCGTCTGAACCAGTTCTTCCAGAAGGAGAAAACCAGCGCTGAGTATAAATACAGCCAAGTGGGACCGGACCACAACAGGTCTGGATCCGAAAACTCAAAAGGCTTTTAGACCAGATCCAGTCTGACAGTTTCTAAAAGACACAGACTCCAACAGTGTCGATTGATTAATAATTAATGATTATTTATTATATAAAATGTCCAGAAAGTGACACATAAACAGTTTAAAGTTTAAATCCACAGTTCGGTTTGTTCGGATTAAGGAACATAGAGAAGCTTTAGACTTCTAATTGCCC